GAACCAAATAAGGTATGTCTGAAGCCTAAGCAAGAAGGATTCTTTTTTCCAGGGATTTAAGCGTAATAGTGTATGTGTGGAACAGAGCACCCAGCCCAAATCATTGGTTAAGAATGTCATTGACCTGATCGTTCTGTTTTGGTGTCTTGGTATCTGCCCTGAATTTCAGAACCACAGTTCTAAAGAGTTTGGAAAAGTTTTGTGTCCAAAGCCCACCTTCATATAAAATTCCACATGGTTGAAACCTAACTCATTTTCCTCCCTCTTTCTTTCAGGAATTTTCCTTCTTATGGGTGGTACTAAGGCTTAAAATATTAGAGAAATGCTTGATATTTTTCTCTTCCTTTTCTTCTCCTTGCCCTTCACCAATTGCCCCGTGCAATTATCCCTTGTGTCTTTTGTAGAGAGCTTTCCATTTCTAGGCCCCTTGCCACCACTATATTCCCACCCTTTCCTGAATACTTCCTATACATAGCCAGATTTATCCACCTAAAATATTATATTTACCTATCATCCCAATGCCTTTGTTTACATTGCATTCATTCTGCCTGAAGTGTTGCTCCCTTCCTTGTACTGGACATACTTTGTCATGTCCTGCTTTCTTTGTGAAGCCTTTTCTGGTTGTTCTAAGCTTCACTGTCCATTTGCTCTGGTCTGACTTTCTGGAGCATGTATCGTCTGTATCGATCATTTAGCACACACACAAAAATGCTACATTGCCTTATCTGTGCACGAATGCCTCCTTCCTTTCTAGCAGTACCTGGTAATGGTTGTGCATTAAGAGTTATTGAGGTTTCGGGGCACCTGGGTGGCTCAGATGGTTAAGCATCTGCCTTCAGCTCAGGTCATGATCCCAGAGTCCTGGGATCGAGCCCCACATTGGGCTCCCGGTTCAGTGGGGAGCCTACTTCTCCTTCTCCCTCTGCCTCTCTCCCTGCTCATGCTCTCTCTCTCTCTGTATCTCTGTGTCTCAAATGAATAAATGAAGTCTTTAAAAAAAAAAAAAGAAAAGAGTTACTGAGGTTTCCCCCTCATATTCAAGATAGAGATTTAAGAGTCATCCCAACTTATATAAAAAAACAAGCAGATTTACATCATTCCAATTTCCTGAGGTTGACTTGGGGTTTTTATATTGATAATTTTTTTTTGGAGCAATTACTCGAGGCCTCTATGCTAGACATTACACTAGATGTTGGAGACGGAACAATGAAGGACAGCAGTCAGTTCCGCTTTCCAGAAGCGCACATTCTGACTGGGGAACAAGTAATTCAACACAATTATAATACTGTGGAGTACACACCGTGATAAATGCATAGGTACTATCAGAACACGTAAGAAGAACATGTAACGCTGACGTGGGAGGCCATGGAAGTCATCCCAGAGAAAGGGACCCCAAAACAGGAACACGGAGGATGAGTAGGAGTTGCCCACGTGACAGTGCGCGTGAGTGTATGTGCAGGGATGGGGTGGGGAATGGGGGACAGAAGATCACTCCAGGCAGAAGGAACGACATGTGCAGGGTCCTGGAGACAAGCAAAACTTGGTTCATTGAAAATATGGAGAGAGTTTAATTTGGCTGGAACACAGAGTACGAGGCATGGGAAAGCAAGAGATGAAGTTGGAGGGATAATCAGGGCTTATGATAAGATAATAAACACTTGTGAGGACAGTGAGCAGTGGACTGAAGACCGGGTGACTACATTAGATTCACATTTTGGGAATACCACGTTGCGTGCAGTGTAGAGAAGAGCCTGAGGGGACAGGAGAGTGGAGGCAGGCAGGCAGGCCAATTGGGCTGCTGAAAATGGTAGGTAATCCAGCAAAAAGTTGATGATGACCTAATCATAGCAGTGGTGGTAGAGATGAAAAAAGTGGATAAATTTCAGGGATGCTTAAGGTAGAACTGCGAGGACTAAGTGGGTGTAGGGAGTGAGAGAGAGAGAGTTAGACGGATGCTAATGCCATGCCATAAGAAGAAAATCAGGAGAAAAAGCTAGTATGGAGGAGAAGATAATGCGGTTGGTGTCAGGCATGTTTAGCTTGGCATTCTGCACCTGGGCATACCCATGTGGAGATGTCTTGGCAGTTATGTACCTTGACCTAAACCTCAGGAGACAAATCTCGGCCAGAGATATAACTTTGGGACTACTCCAAGCAGTGGGATAAGGAAGCCGTATAGGTCCTAGAAGACAGTGTGTGTGTAGAGTAGTGTAGAGTAGAAATGTGTGTAAAGTAAGTAGATAAAATCAGACTAAAACCCAAGGAACAAAAATGTTTAAAAGACGAGCAAGAGGATGTTATTAAAAAAAAAAAACCCTGAAAAGTGGCCCAGAGGTAGGAGGATATCTAAGAAAACATGGTGTTGCCTAAGTAGGTCAACAATGTTACATACAATATCAGTAAATCCAGGCCTGTTATTTATGAGAAGGTTTTTTGTTTTTATCTTGGTGTGAATACTACAGGGCAGCAGTTCTCAACCTTTTTGGTTGTATAAATGATTGTATACTCTTACAAATTATTGAGGACTCAAAAGAGCTGGTTTTGTGGCTACATCTATTAACATTTACTCTATTAGAAATTAAAACAAAACTTTAAACAATTAATTAACAAATAATAAACCTATTTGGTACTAGTTAATATGTTTATAAAAGTAACTATTTTAAAACAAAAAACTTAGAGAAGAATGGCATTACTTTACATTTTGGCAAATCTCTTTAATGTCTGGCTTAATAGAAAACAGCTGGATTCTCATATCTGGTTCTACCTTCAATCTGTTTTGCTCTCACACATTATGTGTAGCCTCTGAAAAATTCCACTGTATTATCATGAGAGAACAAGAGTGAAAAAAAGTAAATAACATCTCAAATAATTATGAAAATAGTTTGACTATTTTGCAGACTCCCTGAGAGGGAACTCTAGGGATCTGGGGACTCTATTTGTAGAATCACTGCCCCAGAGCCGGAGAGCTTGACAATACTGTGAGCCTCAGAAATAAACTCTTGATACCATAGTCAAAAGTAGGCAGGATAGAGTCGACTGAGGTTTCAAGGGCTATTTTATGAGAGGTTGAGGTTGCCTGGTTGATACTATCTTCCAAAGTTAGGAATGGGCTCAAGAATGTTCATTCAGTTAATTCATTCAACAAGTATATTTAGGGGCACCTGGGTGGCTCAGTCAGTCGACTGTGGGACTCTTGGTTTTGGCTCATGAGGGTCATGATCTCGTGGTCGTGAGACTGAGCCTTGTGTCGGGCTCGGTGCTCAGCACGGAGTCTGCTTGGGATTCTCTCTCTCCCTCCCCTCCTGTCCCTCTACACCACCCCCACTCACTCATGCATATGCTCTTCTCTCTCAAATAAATAAATAAACCTTTTAAAAAAACCAAATATTTATTTAGCACATATTCTATGCCAGTAACTGCTTTAGAGGCAGAGGATATAACAATGAACAAAACAGACAAAAATTGCCTTCATGGAGCTTCCCTTCTGTTGGGGAAGATTACACAGTCAACAAAATAGTAAAATATATAGTATACAGGAGCATGGTAAGTACTATGTAGAAGAATAATGCAAAGAGGTATAGGGATTGTTGGAAGGATTTGCAAATTTCAGTAGTAGGGACAGAGAAGGGATCATTTGAGCAAAGGCAACATTCCAGCAAAGACCTGAAGGACATGAGGGAGCCATTTGGTTGTCTGGCAGAAAAGCTTTTCTAGGTATTTGAAAAAATGAGTTTTTAAAATTTATTCTAAATTCTATTAATATATATTCTTTAATCAGATATCTATTGTATCTGGCATTAGCTGCAAGTATAAGAAAATAAGATCTGAGAGCTAATATTCATTTAGTGTCTGCCATGTACCAGGAACTCTGCTAAACATTATATATGAGGTTTGGTACCTTCACTAATATTTGCAGTTTAGTGAAGAAGACAAAGCATGTACATAAAATTCCTGCAGTTACGGTGTAGCAGTTCTTACGAGGAGCAGTAGTCGGTTTGAAGTTGCACCAACAGAGGTTTGCATGCACCTGATCCACCTGACATTTACATCTCTCTTTCACAGTGAACTGGCGTGTGAAGGGTACAACTCTTGAACCTAACAGAAGCTAATCCAGGGAGTTAATAATACCCGATCGCACCTTTTATAGAGCGCTTGAGTTTAGTCGGTATTATTCTAAGAAGTATTATTGCCTTTTACTGTGAGTCGGGAAATAGGCTCAGAAGGCTAGGTAATATAAAGCGGTTATATGGTATGGTGTGGGGTCTCTGAGCACAACAGTCAAGAGAGAATTCTTGAGGAGTTGTATGGTGCAACTTAATAAGTTTATTTAGATAGCACGGGGACAGGACCCCTGAGCAGAAAGGGCTGTACTTTTTGTTGTACGATGCTGGTGGTTATATGCTTAGTGCTTAAGGGGGAGGAGAGATGTGCAGAGAGTATTAGATCATAAATCTTTTCTACCTATTTCTACTCCTAAAACTACTTTCACAAGATTTCTCTGGTGTTTATTATTCGGTTCAATATTAACTATCAGTGAGATATACAGGCAGTCATGAGACTACAGCAAGCAGCACATATTTGAACCTTATTAAAACTATGCAGGCTGCAGGTCTGCCTTTTGGGCTAAAGGACATTTTTCTGCTTCTATCCCTCATCAGGTGGGGTTGGGACCTAAATTTAAGATACCTGCCTTCGAGCACAAGCTTTTCCTATTGCAATGCAGCTGTTACGAGCAGCTGCTGAAATAAAAGAGCCTCATGCCCTGCCAACTCAGCCCTTTCCCAAGTACACCACTGAAGGAGGGGTAGGTTAGGGCAGAGGAAGAGCAACAGTCTACAAAAGGGTGAAATCACACGCGGTTCTTCCCATCTGCGCTTGCGCAGAGGATGAATAAGCGCTCCGGAAAGACGCCTGGGATTCTGAGTTTGCGCAGACGCAGTTTCCTCAAGGCGGAACTGGGGCGACCGAGGCTTCTGCAACCTAAACACCCGGGGAGAAAGGAAGGTGGCAGACGCGCAGCGCTGCGCATGCGCGGGCACCTCCTCCGGGGAAGGGTTGAGAACCGGACTGGGGTGGTCAGTTGGGCTCAGAGCGGAGCGGGGTCAGGATGGACGAGGACGTGCTGACCACCCTGAAGATCCTCATCATCGGCGAGAGTGGCGTGGGCAAGTCCAGGTGAGACGGGTCTGCCGGCGGTGACGACGGCGGCGGGGCTCTTTCTGCCTCCGTGGCCGCCGTCTGCTGGGCCGCGTCGGGAACGGTAAGGGCGGCGGCTGGTGCGGGCCGGGCTGGGGCCGGGCCCCGCTCGTTCTCCCCGGCCTCTCGGCCGCGCGGTCCTGCAGCCCCTGCCTCCCCCCACCCCCGCCGTGTTGTGGGTCCGTGGCAGGCCCGCCTTGTCTGGATACGTTTCCCCTCTGTCCCAAATAAAAAACAATTCTGAGGGCCGCCGCTCGGCGAGCGGGTTTGCTGCCGAGGAGCCTAGGGCGTGGCGGGCGGGTTTGGGCCCGAGTCTGGCCGAGAGCGAAGCCCGGACTCGGCCCCTGGGGTTCAGGCTCACTGTCACCCCGCGAGTTGAGTTGTAACTTCAGCACTTTGGTTTTTCTGTCAGGCTTTCTCTGAATACGTCGCGTTCCACACGGGAAGTTTCGTGACGCCTTGGGTCACATTCCTGGCCTATTTTGGTGCACCCCTTTGCCGCTTCTCTGTTTTCTTCTGAGTCAGCTGTGAAAGAACTCTTTGGTCTTCTGACTACTTGAGTAATTCACTTGAGTCTGAGATGCTAGTGTTTAAGCTGTGGACTTTATTCTTTGAGAATCAAGTGTAATTGTTCCTTCGCATGCTGCCACATCATATAGAGGTGAAAGAACAAATTAGTATTTTGTGTTTTCTTTCTTGACCTTTTTTGAGGGAAAATGATAGTTGACAGTGGTTCGAGTTGAGTATCGGGTAAGAACAGTGATGCTCAGTGGGTGTTGCAAGCGGGTTGTGATTTCCTCCAAGCCTTAGAACAAAGTTCTCCAGGTCAAGTTATTCTTGCCATCTCATTATTATTATTATTATCACTAGGTTATATTCTAGGCTGTCTTGATTTTTAAACAATATTCCAGTTCCAGGAGCTGTAAGTAATTTCATATTTTAGCTATGCCTGCTGATAAACTTATCTCCAGATCACTTCATCAAGTTATACTTTTTTAGATGCTTAAGGATTTGAAATTTTATTCTGTAATACGTTCTGCAGTTTTATATATTTTTAAAGTATGACAATATATTTTCTAGTTTTTCTCATTTACTGTACTCAGTATATATTGGAGTGAGGGATTTGCACATAACAAGGAATAAATTAATGAAACACTGTGGGCTAGCAAAATAGTATGGGTGGTGTGGATGTGTGTATATGTATGCATTATTTAAAGGACTGAATAGGGCGCCTGGATGGCTTAGTTGGTCAAGCATCTGCCGTCTGCTCAGTCCATGATCCTGGCGTTTCATGATCGCAGAGGCCTGCATTTGGCCCTGCGTTGGGCTCCCTGCTCAGCGGGGAGTCTGCTTCTCTGCCCCTCCCCTGGCTTGAGCTCTCTCTCTCTCAAAGAAATAAATAAAATCTTAAAAAAATAAAGGACTGAATAAAGTACTTTTCATGATCACTATTATATTTGAGGGTTAAAAAGTTAATATATTGAACATTGTCTTAATAGGACTTCTATAGCCTTGTGGTCTTTTTTTCTTGAGATGTGACCCTCACTTAGGTTAAGGCATATGAAATTGCTGATTTTGAAGTCAAAAATGGTTGAATGTCATTTCATGTGGTTCAACCCAATACAAGTTTGGTTGGCAACATTTTCCTAAAGGTAGTGGATGGATGACCAGTTAAGCTGTGTTAAAATTTTCTGGAAGGTTAACTAGAGTGTTTATGTAATTGAGGTTCTTCCTCTAGTGTAAAATCAGTTAGGTGGATTTATTGGTTTCCTTAGTTCCCTCCCTTCAGACAAACTTGTTTGGATTTAATTTGATCCAAACTTTTCTCAGTACTTAATGGTGAATTTTCAGCTGCTCACTGCAAAATTTTAACACATTTAACTACCTCTTTCAAGAAAGGATTGTGTTTAGGGAGAAAGTTGGCTTATTTTTCTAGCTAGACATACGTTATTGGTGCATGTTCTTTGCTATGGAAAACAACCTTGAACACTTATTCTTTCTGGATACGATGAGAATTAAATGACTCTACTAAGATAGAAGCCTATTCTTTTAAAGCTGAGTTAGTACAAAAACATTTGTCATGGATATAATCTTTAAGGGTTGTTCTGACCAATAAGTTTGTTTCTTTACAGATCTAGAGTTAATGGAAGTGAAATACCACTTGTATTGTTGCATGACAAAGGACATCTTTTTTTTTTTTTTTAAGATTTTTATGTATTTGACAGAGAGACAGCGAGAGAGGGAATACAAGTGGGGGAGAGGGAGAAGCAGGCTTCCCACTGAGCAGAGAGCCCGATGCGGGGCTTGATCTCAGGACCCTGAGATCATGACTTGAGCCGAAGGCAGACGCTTAACGACTGAGCCACCCAGGCGTCCCGACAAAGGACATCTTAAGTAATTCAAATTAGTGGGTTATTTTTCCAGTTTATTTCAGACTGTTGGAGTGTGATGAGCATGTGTGGTAGCAGCCAGGAGATCAGGATTATGAAACTGGTGCTGCCACTCTGTGACCTTGTGTGTGATACTTGAACACTCTAGGTCTTCATTTCTTATTTGAAAAATGAGGTTGGAATAGAAATCCCTCAAACCCTATCTAATGTTAAGTGTATGAGATGCTTTGATTCTGTGGCTAGCCATAGTGAAGTAAAGAAGTAGCAAAGTGTTTCAGAAACTGGGAGGGATTATAGAGATCTTCTGTTACCTAAATTGCTGTCCCTCCTGTGTCTCTGTGTCCCCATCCTTTTTAGCCAATTTCATTTGTAAATTAAGAAATGCAGACTATTTATGATCACACTGTTTATTATAAATTTGCTTTCCTTTAAATGATATGGTGGTAGTTACTCCTTCCATCTATAGCTCTGCATGGAGAGTATTTTGTTGCTTTGGCTTTGAAAATATGAACGCTTAAATATACATCCTTTAGAGCATTGGTTCTTAATCATTTTCTGGTTGTGGAGTCTTTAAAAGGTCTAAGTCTTTAAAAGTCTAAAAGTCTCTCTGCCTAGAAAAAAGCATAACATAGAGTTGAGAATACATTTCCAGCTAACGGTGTACCCCTGGCTAAGATCTGCTTATATTCAGAGCCCGTATTAAAATTTGTTGCTTTGTACCTTATCAGTTCCCTGGCTTTCCTGACCTTTAATGACAAGGATTATCGTAAGGATTAGCAATTATGTAAGAAGAACCGCTGGCTCAAGTGTCTGGCAAATTGTTGATGTTCAATAAATAATAGCCAATACCATTGTTATTATTTGTATTATTCTGGTATTATTATTACTACTGCCACTACTACTCTACAAGTTTCTTTTATGTAATAATATTTAGTGTGGTGACCAAGTATGGATACATACCTTTTCCATTCTTAAAATATGAGTAACTAAATTTTTAGTGAAATTTTTACTTTTATTAATTTAAAAACCTACTGTTGGGGAGAGAAGAAAATTTTTATAAGTGCAGTCTTTCAAGATTCTTGTTAGTGCTGTCACCTGACTCACGTTGGAATAAGCAAAGTTATAGTCAAGAGGGTACAGTGTTACGTGGAAAATCTACTGTTTATTTCACTTTTGTGGTGCTGGTTTCCTGGTAAACACAAGAAAGCAAAACCAAGAAAGGGAGAGTTAATCCTTCAAATACAGTTAATGACGCCGGATTTTGAATACCAAAAGGCCGTTATGTGTTGCAGTATACTCTGGGGGAAAAAAATCTCTAGCAACAGTAATTACAACCTACAGAAATATTTGTAAATTTTTTTTGCATTTCAGACATCTGATAGCTATTTCCTTGATTTTATTTATTTATTTATTTATTTTTAAAGATTTTATTTATTTGACAGAGAGAGACACAGCGAGAGAGGGAACACAAGCAGGGGGAGTGGGAGAGGGAGAAGCAGGCTTCCCGCAAGCAGGGAGCCCGATGTGGGGCTCGATCCCAGGACCCTGGGATCATGACCTGAGCTGAAGGCAGCCGCTTAACGACTGAGCCACCCAGGCGCCCTTCTTTGATTTTATTAATGCATACAGGTTGATCGATAGAACAGTCTTATCCTATTGTAGGAGATAATGTGAAGGAAGATTGATTAATTTTATAAATCTAGGGCTTTAACAAAAGCTTAGATTATATTTTTGAAGAGTTTCTAATAATTGACACTTCTGCCTTATATTAAATAAATAATTCGGGGAGATATAAAATCTTAGATTATTCATATGGTGTCTTTTTTTAAAAAATTCAAATTCAGTTAATTAACATATAATGTATTATTTGTTTCAGGGGTACAGGTCTGTGATTCATCAGTCTTCTATAACACCCAGTGCTCATTACAACACATACCTTCCCCAGTGTCCATCACCCAGTCACCCCATCCCTCTACCCCACTTCTGTCAGCAACCCTCATTCAGTTTGTTTCCTATGATTAAGAGTCTCTTATGGTTTGTCTCCCTCTCTGGTTTCTTGTTTCATTTTTTCCTCTCCTCCCCTATGATCCTCTGCCTTGTTTCTTAAATTCCTACTCATGTGGTATCTTTTGCTATTATTTCATCTCTTTCTAGTTTCTTTACTATTTCTTAGGTTTAGTCCTCCTTATCTCTCACCATAACCATGGCAGTTGTCTTCGGTTAATTTTCTTGCATTTTTTTTGCTGGCATTAACTTTTCAAAATGTAGAGCAGTTCTTGCCATTCTTTTTTAAAAAAGCTTTCAGTAACTCCCTATTGCCTACTTGATTTCATACACCCTACCTAGCATTTGCTAGAGTATACCTATTCTGGCTATCATGTGATCTACCTTCACTTTTTACTATATGTTTTCTTCCTGCTTAGGTAGTAGTCCTACTACTTACTACTTGTTACCAAATGATAGATTTTCACAGCTTTCTGTTTTACTTGAATTCAGAGTGTAGTACACATCAGATTTAAACAAAAAATTAATTTGTTGCATTCCAAGAGACTTATTCGCCCCTTTTTGTCCACATCACAGTATGACATGTTGCTGATACTATTTTCTCACAAGGACGTACCTTTATGGTTACCAAAACCATAACCAAGCCCAAATCTTTTCACACTTGGGAATTGTGTAGGGGAGCATGGGGAATATATTAAGTAAACTGCTTTGCTCTTGGGGTTCTTTTATTGCCTTTCCAATAATTTAATTCCTCCATATATACCTGCAGTGGGGCAATATTTGTGGGAGCAGACCTACATCAGCTATTCTTACCTGTGTCTAATTTTTTTTTTAAAGTAGGCTCTTTTTTTTTAGATTTTATTTGAGAGAGAGAGCGAGAGAACAAGCACGAACAGGGTGAGGGGCAGAGGGAGAAGTAGACTCCCTGCCTAGCAGGGAGCCCGAGATGGGGCTCGATCCCAGAACTCTGGGATCACGACTGAGCCACTCAGGCGCCCATTATCTGTGTCTACTTTGTGACAAAATATAATAATCCTGAACATTTGCCAAATGGTTAGGAAAAAAGACAAATTTCTAATCTGTCTTTTTAACATTTCTTTTAGCCTGCTCTTGAGGTTCACAGATGATACTTTTGATCCAGAACTTGCAGCAACGATAGGTAAGCCTATGTTTAAAAATTCAATAGAAATGCCACGTATTTTCTTGCCTTCAGTCTGTTTTATCTAGTTCCTTCTACCCTCCATCTACCACCCCATTGTTTCCATGTCTGTTGAATTCTTTTTCTTTCAAGGCTTAACTTTGGCTTCATTAAATTTCTGGAGCCTTTGTAGATCTCACCAAGCAAAAATAACTTACTTGTTGTTTCATGGCACTTGGTTAACACTGTGGATATTATGATTATCTGTACATACATTTCTTTCTTGTACTATGGATTGTCTTTTATTTAGCAACATACAATTATCTGAATATTTATTGTATGTCAGGCACTCTCCTAAGGGTGGGGCTATAATGATGAATTATATAGACTTAGTGTCTATCATCATGGACCTAACAGTATCACCTAATAGTAGAGTGTGTTAATTTTGCATTTTTAGCATTTGCTACAGTCTCCTGCATATATTCTGAACTCACATGTTTATTGATATTAGTTATTAAAGATTATTAGCAGTAATGCCTAAATGCCTCTTTAAAATGAAATTTAGTTTGCCTAAAAGTGGTTTGCCACATTAGCTTACTAGAATATATGAGAAGATTGAGCTATTTAGCGTGTGTATCACATGTTTAGGGAGTAGATGACAATACAAAGGTATCAAGAGACAGCTTGCATTGTGAAAGAGCTGAGTCAGAGCAGGATAGTAGTCTTGACTCTGCCTTGAACCAGTTGTCTAGATCTTCAGGAAGTCCTTTAACTTCACTGTTTTCACCTATAAATGGAGGAGTTTTGGTGAGAGATAATCTGTTTTCCTTACAGCTCTAAAATTTCATGATCTGTTGAGTAGAATGTAGTAAATATGATCCTAGCATTATTATTAGGGAAAATAAAGAGTTTCTCTTAACTGGGTTTGTTTTCGCATTTATTGTGTGTGTGATTTGTTTTTTGTTTTTTTTCTTTTTTTCAAATGTTAAATAATTTCATACTTAGAGAAAAGTTGTAAAAATAGTACAAGAATTCTTGTATGTCCCCAAATGTTAATATTTATCATATACGCTTTATCATGCTCTCTATACACACACACACACACACACACACAGTGTTCTTGTTTTTTTGAATTGATAGTAAAATTGCAGAGATTAACCTCTAAATACTTTAATGTGTATTTCCTGAATGAACATGGATACAATTCTACTGTATACAGATAGATTTCATTAATTGTCCCCCTAATGTCTTATTTAGTGAAAGAAAAAAAAATTGTTTCTGGTCCAGGATGCAGTCCAGGATCACAACTGAGTTTAGTTGTCATTTCTCTTCAGTGTCTTAATATGGGCAGTTCTTCGTCTTTCATGGCCTTGACATTTTTGAAGAGTACATACCAGGTCAGTTATAGTATAGAATATCCTTCAGTTGCATCTGTCTAATGTGTCTTAGTGGTTAGATTCAGGTTATGCATTTTTGGCAGGAATTCCACAAAATGCTTCTCAAGAGCATGGTGTGTATTTTGTACCATATATTTGTACCATTATTGGTGATGGAACTTTGGTTACTTAAGGTGATATATGCCAAATTTCTTTAAAGTGTCATCCTATCATTCTAACTTTGGTGGTTGTCAAACAGTGATTTTTCAAATTCCATCTACATTTCTTACTTAGAATTCTGCAAGGAATTCAATATGAATTCATAGTGCCTCTAAATGTTTAATAAGTTATACCAGGCATTACTTAACATTTGTGTGGCCTATTAACATTTACAGATTTACATTTATGTGTGTGAAAAGGAGTCATTTAAAACACTAGTAATTTAAAATCCATTTTAATTTGGCTTTGATATATTATTTGTTCTTTAAAAAATTAGTAGTAAAACTTCATTTCACTCAGTACATGCCTAGCAATGGATAGCAAGGGGTAGAAGAGTAGTAACTGGAAGGAAAATGAATTTGTCTAGAGTTAAAAATTTTTTTTTTAAAGATTTTATTTATTTATTTGAGAGAGAGAGAATGAGAGAGACAGAGAGCACATGAGAGGGGGGAAGGTCAGAGGGAGAAGCAGACTCCCTGCCGAGCAGGGAGCCCGATGCGGGACTCGATCCTGGGACTCCAGGATCATGACCTGAGCCGAAGGCAGTCGCTTAACCAACTGAGCCACCCAGGCGCCCTAGAGTTAAAATTTTACTAAGGGAATGATCAATATATAATATAAAGCTATTTGTCTTCATTTCAAGCCCAAATGGAATCTGGAGAGTTGGACAATGACAAATTATATATTGTCTTCATTATTAAAAAGGCTTTGTCCACTTTAAGAATAAATACTAAGATTGTGGCATACTGTTGATGTACATAATTTGTTCCCCAAATGGGCTCTGGGTCTTGAAAAGTATCTTTTACATTTAGGTATCAGATTATTTTCTGCCTTAGGTTATAACTAATATAAACACGAACTTTTAAAATAAAACAATTAGTTCAGTTGCTAATGACCTTGTAATAATTAGTGTTTTGTGGAAAATTAGGTATTTTACCGGTAGGATAGTAAGGAAAGCACACTTTTATCTTTTCAGTAATATAGTGAGACACTCAAGTTTCTATCTTATATAAAATATTCTTTTAACGTAACTGTTGGATTTTGAACCTGAGGATGGTACAATAAAGTTGGGTTTTCTTCTTTTGCTTTCTGGCAGTTAGCCAGAATGACAACAAAGGGGGGAGGGAAAAACTAAAACACAAACCCCATATTCCACTAAACTAGAAGAAAGCTAAAAACCCCAGGCCACAGAATAGGTGGAATGGCTGCCAAGAGCAGTGAGTCTAAGCAGACTGTATGTGGGAAGAAGTAGAGTGAGAATGCCATAGCTGCAGAGCTTGGAGCCAGCAAGGGAAGCTTCATGAACCTGAGCGGCCCACCCTGAGATGCAAAGCCTAAATCCCTTGTTTGCGAAAGTAAAATGGGTTTTTTTTAAGCTAATGGCAGAAGTTTCCCTGCACCTGGGTTTGATACTAAGAAGTTGGGAAGGTGAAGCCAAACAAAGAATCACACAAACAAGCCATTTTTTTTTTTTAAAGATTTTATTTATTTATTCATGAGAGACAGACAGAGAGAGAAGCAGAGGGAGAAGCAGGCTCCCAAGGAGCAGGGAGCCCGATGCGGGACTCGATCCCAGGACCCTGGGATCATGACCTGAGCCGAAGGCAGACGCTTAACCGTCTGAGCCACCCAGGCGCCCCAAACAAGCCATTTTTACATTTGTCTTTCTCTGTATCAGTAGGGGAAGAGATGTCTTTGCATTGTGAAAACCTCAAGGCTGCCTATCTCCATTGGCTGTTGAAAAGTAAACAAACAAACAAAAAACCTAAATGATTCTCATATAAAACCTTGAATCAAGACAAAGTTTTGCTGGTCAGGAACTGGAACCACTATAGCCTTCTGCACGAATCTCTTACAGATAGCTTGTCCAAAAAAACCTCACCTCCTTTAAAGATGAATTATCAAAAGGATTTCAGTTAAGCACTACTTCCTACCACTCAAGAATCAAAAAGGAAGAAAGTAGCAGAAAAACAAAGGACAGATGAATACTCAACAGAAAAAGTACTTCTATAAAGTAGATGAAAATCATGCCCAGCTGTTTTGCTATGAATTTAAAACACATTTTGGAAATATTTACCACTGAGAGCACAAAGCAGTGATAAAAGAGGTCAGGAAGAGATAGTGTGACTGCATGAGAAAATGCAGTGTCAGCTAATTGAGCAGAAAGAAAAATAAGGTTAAGAAAATAAAACTGTCACTGAAATAAGGGCGAAATTAGAAGGATCACAAGGGACAGTAGAGACTGTGGAAAACAAAATGAAGGACAATAGAAGCTAGAAAAAAAAGTGGGTAAAATTTGCCAAAATGAATAAAAATGTTTAAAACACATTAGAAAAAATGATGTGGGGGGTGCCTGGGTGGCTCAGTCCTTAAGCGTCTGCCTTTGGCTCAGGTCATGGTCCCAGGGTCCTGGAATCAAGCCTCTCATTGGGCTCCCTGCTTGGCGGGAAGCCTGCTCCCCCTTTCCCACTCCCCCTGCTTGTTGTGTTCCCTCTCTCGCTGTCTCTGTCAAATAGATAAAATCTTAAAAAAAATTAAAAAATGATGTGGAAAACAGAAAAGGAGATTCAGCATATGTATATTTGAATCTCAGAATTAGAATGAGAAAACAAATATTTAATATTTCTGACATAAAAATAAATACACACAAAATTTTAAGAATATTTTGACCAGGTTTTTTGTTTGTTTGCTGCAAGGGGGTGTTTGGATTATGGCAAGGCCTTATGATGGTACTTATTAGCTGCATAGATAGAACTGATTGAAATTTAAGCATGGAGATTAGATCCTTGTAGAAATTAGTTACACTAATTTTATATAATCTAATTAAATAGGCAAAATTTGCTTCATGTTAAAGTTTTTATTTTTTATTTTTTAAAGTTTTTTATTTTTTAATTTACCTTGTTTTAGGTGACCTTTGAATGTAAAGAGTGCTTTGAGTAAAACTTTTTCAAATAAAAAATTAGAAAATTTATTTAAATTAAAATTTAAAATGAGTTCTCTGCTTTTTTTTAAAAAAAATTTTATTTATTTATTCCAGAGAGAGAGAGAGTGCGCACGTGCAAGTGGAGGGAGGAGCAGAGGGAGAGGGAGAGAATCTCAGGCAGGCTCCATGCTCAGTGCAGAGCCTGACACAGGGCTTTATCTCACAACCCTGAATCAATGACCTGAGTTGAAATCAAGAGTTGGACACTTAACCCACTGAGCCACTCTGACGTCCTGAGGAATATATTTATTTAATTGTTTGAGAAATGGCTTCATTTTTTCCTTCTCTCCTTCCTACTTTTCTTTTAGTTTATTTTGTTAGTTTTTTAAGAGTAGTATTAAGTTCCCTTCTTTTTAGTCCTTACTCTTTAATAAAGATGTCCTCTAAGAACAAGTTTACTGTGCCCCATAGGTTTTGGTAGGGTGTGTTTCTTTTTCATTGCT